TAGCTTCGAGCACACAGAACTTGGTTAAAAGCCGTGGCAAACAGCAGTGAGAGCTGGAAAGGAGATGAGAAGACAGGACGGGCTGCCTGGATTCTCTTCGGCTGCAATTCAACTCTCCAGCTGGTGGAAGAGAATTCTCAAACACTGGACCTGGTTGCCGTTTGCCATCTCCAGCACAGCAAGGAGCTCCGGGCAGCATTTCTCTCGTACGTGCCTTGCTATGTCTTGTAACTTGGGTGTTTACCTGCTATTACTCAGAAAAAACGTCTTCCGAATGGGATGGGACCTTGCTCGCCCAAGAGAATCTGTCACCAACTCTGTGTGACCTCAGCCTATATGACTAGACCCTGTCCCAGTCTCCCCATCTGTAAAAGCAGAATAGGAGCTGCTTCTTTTTTTTAGAAAAACCTTGGAGCTCTGAAAAGCATTACATAGAATTCTGTACAGGTCAATTTTGTGTCTTGTGTATCTAGACAATAGCAGGGATTTTCAGTATATGTTTTATTTACTGAGAAAAACATCTTTCTCTAGTTAGACAGTTTCTACCCCTTCGAGAACTGCTCTGAATTCCAGACAAGAGACAAGCACCCTGTGCCTGAAGTCCTATAGCTGCACTCCAGCAGTGACAAAAGTGCCCTTGACTTCAGTGGGATTCGATCCTTTTTGTTCTACTGGTGGGAGAGTACTCCAAACGGCTCGATAAAGAGGGGCTTCCACTGACAGGACCCGGACTAGAGGAGGAACACAGTAAGGAAAACCTGAGAAATGGAAGGCAAATACCAGTGAAATAGAGTTAAAAAGCAACAGTTAGGGATTTAATCTGCAGTCAGCAACAATCACCTTTGAATGCAAGCGCAGCGCCAAGCACCGTGTAAAAGTGCCTGACGGATGTCTCGGGTCAGCAAAGTTGCGCTGTGATTACGTCAATCCTGATTGTAGCCCTCCTGCGCCGTGGCAGGAGTATCGCACACCCACTAGTGCTCGTGTACCAAACGGAGCGTACACACCAACACGAGCCCAGAAGCTGCTAATCCGAGCGCTGCCACCGTGGGCTTAACTCACATGCGCAAAATTCCAGCTATGCCCAGCAGCGCTAGCACTCATACGTGCTGACAGCAAGGACTGAATAAATTACAAGCACAAAGAGGTCGGCTAAGCAGTCTTCTGCCTGACAGGGATTTTTTAAAAAATTCTCAGAAACCAACACAATCCTGTTGGTAATGCACGAAGAGAATTGTTCTGAAATTAAGGCAGTACGCATGGGAAGGAAGGTAATTAATTAAACCACTTGGAAAAGAAGAGAGTGTTAGTGTTTGTGAGACAGAGAGAGATTTCTGGAACGGAGCTTTATTGGGAAGAATGGAGAAAAAGACAAGTATTGGTATATAGGCAAACTTACTGCTGGCTTGTTGCCACATCCAATCTTTGCACAAAGATAAGCTTTTCCCACTAGCTTTAGAGAACAGTGGAGTCTAATTCTGTGGATCCACTTTAAATAAAGGGTGATGGAGCCACACATGGGGTTTTGCATATGGCAGAGTAATAATCTGACATTTCTTTGATTTGTTTTGGTGCTCTGGAACCCCTCGATATTAGCCGCTGGTTTCTGGGTGGGGGTGTGTGAGTGCTAGCAGCTTATGCATGGCTGGATATGCATTCATTCCAAACCTCCATGGGTGAAACTGGCCTCTTATCTGCAAGGCTGAGCTAAGCTTTAGTGAGTGACTCCCACCCATCACTGTCAGGGTAATCAGCCCCCCAGGCAACGCGATTTCCAAAGCCGCTGAACCTTGAGAGGGTGGAGGGCTTGGAGGCCCTTCCCAAGGGTCCTATTGTGGAGTATCGCTCACGGTTGATCCCTTCGTGGCACGTGAGTTCCTTTCAGTCTTTAGAGCACTTTTCCTTACGAAAACAACGCCGTGGAGCCAGCAGAGGACACGATATGGAAATAGTAAGAGGGATATTCATACTGCCTGAGAACTTAGATACTAAAGCTGGGGAATTCCCTCTTTTTCCTGTATAGCTGATGGGTAAGGACAGGTAGTCGAATTGCAATTAGACTTCTCCAAACCATGCCATGGATGTGTCTGTCTCGGAACTACACAGGAATAGCAGCTGCCTAAACAACATGCCAAAGCGAGGTAGCGTGAACATGCTCTTACTCACTGTCAGCTTGGGCAAAAGGAAGCTGTTGTATAGCCAGGAGCTGGGGTATAACTCTCTAAATCCCAGCTGAGCGTCTGAACCTTGCTAGGGCCCAGGGAGAAACAACTGGCCTGACTATACTTCACGAGTAATAGGTGGCACTTGCATCCAGTGCTACTAACAGCTTGTAAGAAGCCAATGTGACTTCAAAATGAATGCAGCTAACCCAACCTCAAAGGACAGAGAGAATAGTATTTCTATGGGAGTAAGTCAGGGAGAGCGTAGTGAGGCATTTTCAACATCTCTTTGGCAGTCCCCAGAGACTTGATACAAAGCCAATTCAAAGCAGAAGAAAGCTTTCCGTCATTTGCCTTACCTATCACCGTAACGGCGCTCCTGGGCATTGCAAGACTGGCAATAGACTGTTGGCTTCCCTTTGTGAGCCTGAAGTGTGGCATCCCCAAGTCCATGCTCTGCCTTTCAATGTCCATTTCTTTCAGGTGGCCTGAGAAAGGTGTTTCACGATGCAGCTTTTCGCATTCACAGCAGGGAAAGGGACAACACATATGCAGTGTGAGTTGTTCCACGGGGAGTATGTTAAACCAACCAGTTCACGCTCATTAGCTGAGCGGTGGTATTTGGTGCTCTCCGCTCGTTATAGATGTGATGTGAAACATGGTGGCTTAAACAAGAGACGTCCGTACCGACCCATTCTATCTCCTGTTTGTCACAAGGAAAGAATGCATTTATGGGCCCTCACCACAGCCCCAGTAACACACAGCAAACCTGAAAAGCTGATTTGAGCCCAGTACAGAAATAATAGTCCTGGTTCCCAGCTGATGTCTATGGATACCCCTGCCTGGGAGTGAAGGAGGCTGGGATGCTTTTCAGAAACTATCTGAAAACCAACGTGGCCGTTTCCCTTTTGGTGCGAGTCATCCATCAGGTAGAGCGCAACAACTGGGTGTTGTCCCCTGACCTATGGCTCAGCGGCCTCAAGACAAATCATTTCACCTCTGTTATGATGGATATTGCCCTTATGGTTTGTTTGCAAAGTGCTGCGTATGTTTATGATGCCATAAAAAGGCAACGTAACACACAATTAAACACAACATACTTTGTATTTAAAATTTTTGCAATGGGCAAACACTTTGTATCCGCTAAACCTTGGACTCAGTTTCCTGCTTAATGTTAAGAACTCGAAGCGTTTGGCTCTGCGAGAGCCCGGGATTCTCTACTTGCTGAAGGAAGAGAGCAGGCTGGGGACTGTTCTGCGTGCAGAGACTTGGTATACCTGAAATAAGCATCGTAGTCATGACTTCGAATGCAAAGATAACAAAAACACTGATCAAGAAGCCACGTCACTGGGCAGCTTTGCTTGCAGTCCGCACTTTTTGTGTCTAAGGGCCTGAGATGCGAGAAATGACTGCGAGTATCTTGTCATCTTCATCTCACGCTGGGAGTGTGATGTGAATATCAAACCTTCTTTTGAGCATATTTTGAGTAATAGACATTTTCAGATATGCAGATCCTGTGTGTTACTTGGAGCTACTGCAGTTGTTTAGAAATAATGAAACCAACAAAAGGGAAATGGGGAAGACTCATCAGAAATTTTGGACTTTTCCATAGAATGTGTACAAATTACCAAATGTCTTTGTGCTTTAGTTTTCCAAGTAAAACGGAGAGGCTACTTGTGACCTGTATTAGGATGAATTTAATGTTGTAAAAGCTTACTGATCTTTTAGTAAAGAAAAGAAAGAGCAATATAGTACTAACAGATGTAATTAACGCCTTTATACCTGCATATACCAATTTATATGCATGAATATATGCAGTCAATAATAAATTATTTATCTGGGAAAGCATGCACAAGCACTGTGGGTAATAGGTGTGAGGACTAGCTAAAGCCTGTAGCGATTTCCAGGAATGGGTCACCCACAATGCAGGATGAATAGGAAAGAAATGCTCATACCAGGCAAAAAAGGCAGCTTGCTCTGCGCCTCTGGCAGTGACGTGGGGAGTCCAGAAACGTGGGTTCCGTTCCTGCCTCTGCTTCATCACCCTGTTAGAGAACTTCTATTTTTTTCTTCTACCCACTCCGAGATCCTGGGGGTAGCAATTTCACCATTGTCCATTTATGTCAGTCTTATGAATAAGGATTATTTCTTACAGAGCGGTCACGCCGTGCCCCGCAGAACTGCGGCCACGCTCGGGGCAGCCAGTCGCCGCTGTGACAGAGTTCTGGGGTTGTTTTTTTTCCCCGCAGAAATTTGTGAAACGGGGCGTTCAGGTGATTGTGCGGGGAGCGAGTTAGGGTGTGATCTGGGCAAGAGAGGGAAGAACAAATTTATCTTCCCCTCTTGGAAGGCTAATCATTTTCTGAGTGCGCTCTTTTCTTCCACGGGGCGGGGGGGGGAACGAAGCTCCAGACAAAAACCCAGGCCACCATCCCACGCTGTTGAGGGCTGGCTGCGTGGCCCCGGTCTCTCGGGATTCTCCCGGGACCCCAAAATCCCAAACCACCCGCCTGTGTCCCGTCCCCCCCCCATCTCCTCCGCCGCACCGCGACCCACCGGGAGGACGGGAGCCGAGCCCCGGGGCTTTCGGCAGCGATCCGGGGAAACCGAAGGCCCGTGGGCGGTCCGGGGAAGGGCTTTGGCTGAGCCCAGAGGCAGCGGGGGAGGTACGGGGCCGAGCCGAGCCGAGCCGGGCCGGGCCGGGCGGGGCGACGGGGGCGGGATCGGGGCGGCGGTGCCGGCTCCGCTCCTCGCAGGTTAAGAGCTGCGGGGGGGCTGAGCTGGGAAAAGAGAGAGAAGCCGAGGAAAGCGAACCCAACCGAGCCGTGCCGAGCCGTGCCAGCATGGCCCAGCCGCGCTGCCGCTCCGTCCTCATCACCGGTTGCAGCCGGGGGATCGGACTGGGGCTGGTGCGGGGGCTCGTAGCGGCCAACCCTGCCCCGGATTTGGTCTTTGCTACCTGCCGGTATCCCGAGAAAGCCCAGGTAACCCGGGATCGGGTTTGGGGTTGGGGAGGAACGGAATTCCCCGGGTGGGGATGCTGCCAGCCCGCCGGAGCATCGTGTCTCCGGGAACCGGGGGTCCCCTCCCCGGTTTCTCGGTGTTTTAGGCTGCCGGGGGTCTCGCTAGCCCTCCCGAGAAGAGCCTGGCAGGAGCTGCGGAGAGGAGCACACGTCTTGGTGGCTGGAAGGCAGTGGGAGTCCGGGGGGGGAGCCTGGGGCTGGAGCCCGGGAGGGGGTGAGAAGGTATTTGTGGAAGCGTAGAACAGGTCAAGCATCTCTGCGACCAAGCGCTTGGGGTCCCAGTAGCCGGAGTGGGATGGGAACTGGGGGCTGAGCTGCCACCCCGGCTAGGGGGCCGGATGGGGTAGAGTCGGGGCCGTGAAAGTCTCCGAGGCTGGAGGTGAAATGGGCAAGGGATATTGGGGTTTGGGTACTTGGGTGCGTTCCCGAGAGGAGGAGAGGTGGGCTGGAAACACTGCAGCCCTGGCCCCAGCTGGGCAGGCAGGCTGGACAGCTGCAGCATCTCAAGCGCTCCTGCCAGCCGCTTGCTCCAGTCCCCGAGTTTCTCGCTATATTTGCAGCTGGAGAGAAGTATGTCCTGTCCTTCTCCCGTTTTGCACGGACCCAGAGCCCTGCAGGGGTAGTCTAGCCCCCAAAAGCTCTCCCAGTGAAACCTGTTACAGCTTTCCTCACCCATTCTACGTGGTGTGTCTATGTCCCCAAAAGGAGCTGTGCCCCGTCTGTCTCTCTCTCCCCTTTCTCCGCTGGACTTGCAACAAGCGAGAAGGCCCAAATGAATGACGAATTCAACACTCCTCTTAGTGCCCTTCTTGGCTGGGTAGGGACCAGAGCCTCTGCTGAAACCATAGCAGCTTTTGTTACGTGCTGCTGGTGAATTCACTTGCAGCCCTTTCCCCTTTCAGCCAGTATTCCTACTGCTACAGCATAGCAGTAAAGCGTTTGGACTTCTTCCCCATCCCTACATGTTATAAATGACTGTCAGACAAATTAAAGGCTGCACCCAAACCTTTGGGAGGCCAACTGATAACGAGGGTTATTGGTCTGCTCACTTTGTGGCTGCTAGCATCCTCTGTTGCATCCCAAGTCTGATCTTGACTCTCCTTAGTAAGGTTTCTACCTGTACTGCTAGGGCAGCACAGCAATACACGCAGGTATCACTCTCCTCCTTTCCTAGGAAAGCTCTAGTGCTCCAGAACTGCAAGAATCCGAGCTCTCAACTCTATGACTTTTCAAATCCCTGCGTATTGCCGCAGGCATTCGGTAGGAGAATTGATACCGAAAGCCCTACTTCTGCATCTCCCCTATTTCAAGCATGGCACAAGGCTGCCTTAGCGAAAGGCAGATTCCCTGGTGTGTGCACAGGTAAACTTATATGTCTGTTCCCTTAAGGCTGATTGTATTCTTTTCAGCGCAAACTGTGATCACACCATGCTAGCAATAAACAAAATGTGGCAGCTTCGTTTACTGCTTAGCTATACAAAAACTTTAAAAGACAGTGCCGAGGCTCCTGCTTCAAGGGTGGTAGTACAGAGTTGGTCAGATAACAACACCTGCAGTCTGACCGCTCGGTTCTCCGCTGGCACTGTGCTGCCCTACAGGAACTTGTGAAACTGAAGAAAAAGGTCTTAATCTTGTTTCTTGTAAAAAAAAAAAAAAAAAAAAATCTCTCCAGCACAAAGACACATTTAGGATATTTCTGAATTGAATTGCTGAGAAACAGCCCAGCGAGACTGAAACCTGGTGCACAGACTGCCTTTCAGAGCCACCCGTTCCTGCAGCTTCGCCCCCTCAGCCCCCCTTCGGCACTACATGAGCTCCTGAACAGGTATTCACTACCATTCTGTTCGCTTTTAACTCCTGTTACAAGATCTGGCATTTATCCCAGATGTATTTCCTATTGGTGATTGCACAACAGCGTGGTACAGTAGTGGTACAGGAAACCAGCAGAGACATATGACCTGCTGTTAGATAGAAATCTCCCTGCTTAGTTGTTTGTTCTAAAGCCGCCTTAGCTGGTGCTGAGAGAGGTTCTGTTTTTTCACCAGTTGGCCCTTGTGTTCAGAAGTGATTTCTCGTTATAATGGTCTTGGATCAATTACATGGAGAAGCAAAGCGGTTCCTTCAATAAGAAGAGCTTCCTAGGAAACATTACACGGATGTATCTTAACGCAACTTGGGAGTTTTTTTGCATTGCCAGTACTTAAAAATCTTCAGCAAAAAGGCTGGTAAACCTGCACAAGAAGATGAAATAGCCTTCAAATAGTGTGCCTGGGAAGAGTCTGGGTCGCTTCTTGCTTGCAGTGGTAGAAACCTGGAAAGCCTGCTGGCAGTCATGTCTCATGTAGGCAGGAAGCTGGCCAAGAGCCACATTCCAGTAACCCCGAGCGGTGACTCTGCAGGCCACATGGGGTGCATCCTAAACTGCCTTTTTTTTTTTTTTTTTTCGGTTAGGGGGGGCAAGGTTTGTCTTTGGTGGATCAGGGTGGGGTTTTGTTCTTTGTAAGGACCTCTAGGCCATGTGCTGTGCTTTGGCAGTACATCAATAGAAACCTCTGCAGCCAGCTGAAAGCGTATTTCTAACAGATGGGTTTGGAAACTCCACAAGGCAGGGAAATCTTTACTAAAGGTATTGTAGCAGTCTCACTAGTATTATCTGTCCCATCTGCAGCGCATAAAGTTGGCACAAAACTTTCTGACCTTCTGAGGTGTGTTTCCACCATGCTGCTAGTCCTTCTAGCTGGCAGAGGGCAAGCACAGACGTGCTCGAGCCTTTAGCAATGGGAGGCTTAGCACCGTATACAACTGACTATCTCGAAGCTTGGATCCCATTTGGCAGTGTTGCTCAAATGTGATATGGTAAGGGAAGGCAAAGGTTCAGTGACTTTCTTGTCTTTTTTTTTTTTTTTTTTCTTTCCCAGAGAGAAAGCTTTGCCTTCACTGACTTTCCAGTCAAATCCTGAAAACGCAGAGTTCAGGTTCCTGCACTCCAGAGGCTGGCACTGCAGATTTGTCTTAGTGCACATGAAATGGGCTTTGCCCATCTAAGACCTGTTTGTTGACCACGTGACTGGGCTGTGAAGTTGAGTGACTTGTTCTTTCTCTGCACACCTGAGCTGTCAGTGGTTGTTTTTTCTCTTGGCAGTGATTTAAGCAGTCTACTTTTGTTTCCTCCCACTTTGCTTCGTGGTAAGGGACCATATGAAAAATCCTCCTTAATACGAATACACTGCCCCCCACTTCCTCTCCTGGATTAGAGGATGAACTCGGAGAACAGCAACTTTGGACAGTTCTCTTAAATTCTGCTCTCATCTGGTTTGGTTAGAGTAGCATTGTCCTGTCGTAGAACGCAGGGAGGGGAGAAAGGATGGGAAGAGCTTAAATGAAAAGCCTTTTAAAAACCACCTTCCATTTTTTAGAGGAAAAGTGATTAAATATGCTTAGCTACTGGCAAATCCAGCGCCCATCTTGGGGAAAATAGCCAGCAGCAATTCCTGGGTAGCCGAGAGTTATCCAGAGAATCTCTCAAGAGTTATCCAGAGAATCTCTGGGCAGAGCGCATGCTGTTACAGATGCAGATGACTGCATACTTTGGAGTCCTCCAAAGTGGACAGATAAGAGCCCCAAAGGACCTGACTTTAGAAAGAGATGCTGGAGAAGGGTCCGACTTTGCTTTCCTCTGCTTACTACAGAAAGCAGCATGTCTCCTGTAACTTGCTAACCCTGTGATAATGCTGAACAGCTGCAAGCTTTTGCATGTGAGTCTGTGCTGGCAGAAGTTGTAATAACTTGAGTTTTTGTGCTGAATAGCTCCTAGGTGGCCTCCACAGAACATTTGCCTAACAAATGGACTTTAGATCACAGGATAACATGCAGCAGGCCTGCAGGCGCATCTAGATAACCGCTGCCCCTCCTTGAAAAGTACCATACTAGACTCCTTCAGCCACACTTTGTTTCTCATCTGCCTTTACTTGGGCTGCTCCAGCACTGAGAGTGGAAGCAGCTACAAATCTCTTGCAAAATGATCCTGACGTCCTGTCTTTCCACTCCAGATGGACAAAACCACAGTACGGTTATTATTAGGCAGCCTGTACGGGCTCATGGACCCATCTGTAATTCTCCCCTACCCTCCTGTATTTCTTTCTTGCTCGCTCTTCCCCCATCCTGCTTCCTCATAAAAGGGAAAAAACTCTGATCTACACTTTAAGACTACACCTAATGATGCTGTAGCCCCTGTAGTCCCCCCTCTGACTTGCTGAGGTATGGAGGGAAGAGATGGCTTTCTGAGGAATCAAGGTAGCTGAAAGGATCGAAACGGCCATGGTGTAAATCTGTTCACAGCGCGTCCTGTACTCAGCTTGGCTGTGCTGAGAGCTGAACGTGGGACCTCGGGACAGGAGCATCTCTTGTTTCTCCTGCTCTCCCCAAAAGCTCAAGTGTGTTCCCAGGTGAACAAGAAAGCGTTCAGTTCCTTGCTGCTCCGGAGTCCTCTACCGGGCTCTGGAAAGCTTCCAGGGCTTAATGTGCTGTTTCCCTTCCTCTGAAGTAGGAGATAGTGTTACTAACAGTGCTGTGTCTGTTCCCTTGTCAGACAGAGCTCTCGCTGAAGTGCTTCTGCACACTGTCTCTGTCAGGTTTTGTTTTTGTTTTTTTTCTTTCCTACATATTTTAGCCATGTGGTCTGCTATCGGGGAGAGCAGCTGAGCAATCTCTGGAGCAGCGCTCTAGCAAGATAGATGTGTTATATCAGGCAAAGGAGGCATTCTTGAAGTCTTTCTAATTTGGGGTTATTGCAGTGTTGGGGTTTTTTTTTCTGGAAGTGTTTTGCGCTTCCTACAGCATTAAGGTCTGGCTCCTCTTGAGTCAGAGAGGCCATGGATTTGGGGCAGTCTGCAGCAGCTTGGTGTCAGCTATTCCACAATCAAACAGTCAGTTGGCTGTAGACCGGGATACTGAAGAGCCTGTCTCGGAGAGACACGGGCAAATATGATCCATCTTTGACTTCGTCCGGAGTGCAAGCAGGATGATGTGAAAGGATACCCATGTATCCTTTGCCTGACAAAGCTGCCTACAGGCTGCGTTAGTTTGGCTTGATTGCTTCCAACTGGCCTGGTATGGCCAGGTCCTTTCCAAGAGCTGTAACTGAAGTGAATAATGCTTTCATAAAGAAGGCAAAGTAAATCTTTCTAAATGACAAAGACAACATAACATTCCTGGTTGAAATCTAGCAATAAATATCCTGTGTACGGACGAACCTGTGTCTGGAGCCTTGAGTGCCAGAGGATCTTGTTTAAATTGGAGTAGGCTGACTTTTTGTTAATCATAATTAAAATCAGCAAGCAGGAAACAACGGATGCTAATCAGAGTTTAAATTTTTCTTGGAATCCCTAAGAGTTGATTCTCAGGGGTAAACAGTTATTCAGGTACAAAGCACTTCTAGAGCCGACTATGCTAAACACAGTATTAGGGAGTTGTGTTGTGGTTTTCTGTTGGTTTTGTTTGTTTTTAAATTGGCTATCACAGTACACTAACTAAAAATGACTTAGCCTGGGATATGTTGGCTGTACCTACTGTCTTTAAATTAAACTGCATAAACTGACATTAAAACACAAGCTGCACTTCAAACATCAGTACCGACGAGCTCACTTATTCTTATGTATGCATTGCCGTTATGATCTGCACTGGCTCTGGTAGACTGCTCCGAGATCTCATCTTCCCAGGGATTTAACCTATTTGTCCTGGGTGCAGTGCCTCTGCACTAGCATGTTGGCATAGAAAAGCGAGCGCAAGTCTGCTGCTGCAAAAAACTTTGCAGGCAACTTTGGTGGGTGTAGGTTTGGTTTTTGTTGGTTTGGTTTTATTTGTTTTGGTGGGGTTTTTTTTGTTTTGTTTTTAATGGGTGGAGAACAAGGCATTTGACAGATGACCACACTGAGTTTAAGGAAAGCTTATCCCTTCAGTGGGGAGTCAATAACTAGTATATGCATGCATTGCAGTAATATTTTCAGAGTTCTCTGGACACAGGAGGCTTTTGATCTCTTTGATCAAAACTACCTGGGGTGGGGGAAGAGGATAAGCAGCATACGTGGCTGGTGGCTTGAAATGGCTGTATCTGATCGTGCTGCCATGAAGCTGTCTCTGTCCTCCTCTCTGCATGTTCCTTCTAGTCACCGCAGGAAAAAGAATAGGCTTTTCTGCAATTCTTTGGTTTCCTAACTGGATTTTTCAGCTTACATTTATATCAGGTGGAGTAACATTCTTGAAGACCAAAGCTGTCTAAGTTAGCTTTATGCCTGGAAGCTGCTTCTGAGAAACCACTGAAGTGGGAGTCACTTGTTAACTAAGTAGTTAACTAAATGCAAAAACCATTGAATTTTAAACCTAATTTGCATGCAGCAATTGTAATTTTATGCTGTTTATGTTCTGGAGAATGCTTAATGCTACAGTGTTTGCAGTTCTTAATTGAACATATTGCTTACTCACTTCAGAAGCCTCTCAGCTGCTGTCACTACACAAAACATCTCCGGCCTTTTAGCAAAAGTTAGTAGCTTGTTTCTGTCAGAGAGTGAAGCAATCTGACTATAAATAAATGTACAAACCTTGAGAAGCCAGAGCACTTCTGGAGTTTATTATCAAGTGAGCGATACTGTCAAAGTCCAGTGGACAGTCCAAAGCCACATAATTATTGCAGGCCTTGACATGGCAGAACTATTTCATGCCTGACTATCAATAAACAAGATAGTGTGTCCTGGGCCTTTAATCCGTTGAAAACTGTCCCATTAAGCCTATCCAAGGGATGGAATGTCTTCTGGTTTTGTGCTTCTGACTCTCCCACCTTCCTTCCCCCTCCCCTTAATAGCCTTAACTGCAGTTGTAGATTGTCCTCAGTGGGAGAACAAATTTTCTAAACAAGCCTGGAGAGAATCCTGCAGAGTATGAACTGAGATAAAAGATGTAATGCATTATAGCTTGACAGAGGACATGGAGTCCCTACGTGTCTCCAAGTGGCAAAGAAGTACTCTTTCAAAATCAGCCTTCGTGACCCCTATTCCCAAAGGGCTCCTAAAGAAATGGATTTGCTTGAGCTGGAATGTTTGGCCAGGGTTGCTCGGGCTCCTAAACGTGGCTGGGAGTATGTAATCCATCTGTTACATTTGGCCACACTTCCCGCTTGGCTACATGGCACAGAAACCTAAGTATTCCAGCTGGGCCTATAAATCCAATTTGGACACACTTTGTCCAGCAGCAACACCAGTAGAGTACTAATGTTCTCCAAGACCACTAGTCATGCCTCTACTGAGAGGTAGTAGACAGATGACTGAATTACAGCTATCTAGCAGAGAGAGAATTGTTCTCGTGGACAGTTGCTGTGTATGTAACCAATTTCATGCGTGCTTTACCTTCGGTTACAAGAACTGAAGCTAATCAGAGTGCTGGGAAACAGAATTTCCACAGGAAAATTGCTAGGAAACTTTTCCTGCAAGCAGTAATTCCAAATGGCTTTTCTTAAGGATTCCTGTTGCCCTGAACTGATGTCTAGCACTAGCTGAGCTTCAGGAAGATTGCGGTGCTTTTCTTACAGAAGTAGGGAATCACTGGCTTGGAATACAGGCTGAGCACCAGGTCTGCTGTGGAACTGGCAACAGTGGCCGCCTGATCAAAGACCTTTGGTTACACTAGAAACACATGCCTGAGTTGTACACACCGGGAACTAACTCTGTAATCTAGAGTGCTGGTGTCTTGACTAAGCAGGTAAAGAGTCCAGTTTCTTGGAGCAGTTGATACCGCTCTCAGGAAAGCTGCTCAGCAGGTTGGAAAACAAAGTAGTATCACTGCCTTCAGTCCAATTATGAAAATAAATGGCAGTTACAATTCCGGAGGTGTAGATCTCAAACTGTTTTATGTAATAGCCATGGATATATATATATATATAAAAAATATATGTAAAAGATAACACAAATAATTTCTTCTTCCTAGGAACTCCAGCAGCTTAGCAAGCAATACAGCAATATCAGGCTCCTCCAACTGGGTGAGTAAAGGGCTTATACAGAAGTATGTTCAACTAAGTCAGCTGAGTGCATCTTAAGAAACTGGTCTCCTGGGTGATCAGTAGCTGTACCTGACCTCCAGCAGCTGAAAACAATCACCCTCACCTTGAAATAGCACTGGGGAAACATAATTTATGTAAAGTCTTCTGTGTATTGTCATCTCTGTGTGCTGCCTAAATGTCCCCATTGAGACTAATGCCTTAGCTTTGATTTAGCACCGTGTTGTGTAGTGACAGACGGCATTTGAACCACTCAGTTCACTGTTCACTGTGGCTATTCTTGGCTCCTCTGTGCAGATGTGGTCTGTGAAAACAGCATCAAGAAAGTAGTCAAGGAAGTGGAAGAAATTGTGGGAGACAAAGGTCTGAACTGCCTCATTAACAATGCTGGCATCAATGTGCTTGCTTCCTTGGAAGAAGTCACAGCAGAGACAATGCTCACCATTTATGAAACCAATACAGTTGCCCAGCTGATGGTCACCAAGGTAAGAATTGGGAGGAATGTACTTAATCTTTGGTACTGTAAGATGCTTTTCCACTGGTGAGCTCGACACGTAACCCAAGCATTTGTCACCTTGGAACTGCACAGATACAGGTCTGATATCAAACTGCATGCCTAGAAAGCAGCAATAGATCCATTTTATCAAGGATCTTTCTCTTTATTTAAATCCATCTGGTATGAGGTCACTTCAGTAGACAGGTTGGGCTAGGAGGTAGGCAGAAGAGACTGAAGGTCCTTGCTACTTACAGCTGGCTTTTAGAGAAAGGTTTCCTATGGTCAGCTCATCTGGGGAGCCATCACCATTCTGTGCTGGTGGCATAGAGTTGTACTGCAATTCTTCATAGAGCAGAACCCGAGAGTCCGGCTTGCCTTGAATGGGCCAAGTGCAAGCTGACCAAATTAAAACAAGCTCTTGTTTTCACAGGCATTTCTACCCCTTCTGAGGAAGGCAGCCCAGCTGAGCACAGGAATGGGCTGCCATAGAGCTGCTATTATCAATATGTCCTCTCTTGCTGCCTCCATGCAACTCGTCCAGGCAAATGAGATGTTCCTAAAGGTCTACCCCTACAGGATAGCAAAGGTTTGTAGGCTTCCCTGGGCTGTGCTCACCGGGTGAGGGCAGACCTGTGAGTCAAAGACCCCTCTGAGCTTGAGACGTTGACGTGAGGTGCTCAGCACCTCCTTGGACAGGCTGACACAGGAACTGTTCTTGTTCTTCATGTGGGTGGAAATGGGATCTGTGAAAACTATACATCTGGAGCAAGCATGCCAACTTCTTAAGAACAGGCTTACAAATGCTCCATCACTACTCTCATATAGATCCATCACAGAGGGACTTGGCATTCAGGGAGGAACTGATGCCATCAAGTGTGTGTCCTATTAGCTGTGTTCCTCTCCAGTCCAAGCAAGATATCAGGCATGAAACTCAACAAAAGGTGTGCTGACCTGTACATGGTAACGCCACTCAGTGAGAGGTGGAGTTTTTAGTTTTGTCACATCCAGAGACTGAGTTTGTACGAACAGTCAAGATTAAACATACAGTTTCTCCTACACCACCTACTCATAAGCTGTTAAAATGCTTGTTTTCCCTGTTCAGAAGTGAAAAACTGAATGTTTGTGTAGTGATTATTGCAGAAAAACAGAGTCCTTATGTCAATATTATTTTCCCCACAGCTCCTTAGGAGTTTCAAATGCTACTTTATCTTCCATGATAACTTAGTTTCATCTTTGGGCAGTAAGCTTATGGCAAGAGAGCTTTCACAATGCTTCTCTTAACAGGTATCTCTGAGAACAAAGCCTTCACTAAATCTGGATAAGTTACTGTGATACTGTTACTGCCCCTTCTTTTGTCAAGAGACAGCATGGTGGAAGGGAGGTGCCAGTTAGCTTGGCTTAAGGTCTTGCTCAAGGTTTGTAAAACTAGCATGCTAATAGATGGTTTCCACTCTTGTAGACTGCGCTGAACATGATCACCAGGTGTCTTGCTGCAGACTTGAAATCAGACGGAATTCTCTGTATTTCTTTGCATCCGGGCTGGCTTCAGACAGACATGGGCGGAAACATGGTAGGTGACATCTCTCTGAAAATGTCAAAGTATGACTCCCTTGTTGTCCCAACCCTTGAGCAAGAACCCACTGTACAGGATACACTTCCATGTGCTGCAGAAGCACACTATGAAACACGAAAATATGTCCCACTTGATCCTAGTAGCTCCTTAAATGCATTTGGTTCTCTTCTGTAGGGTATTTCCAGTAATAATCTAAGCTTGATTTGCTCTAGGCTCCCATGCAGGTGCAAGAGGCTATCCCAGGTATTCTCTCTGTTCTGGACCGTCTTGGTGAAAAAGAAAACGGTTCCTTCCTGGACTGGCAAGGGGAAACTCTACCGTGGTAGAAGCGCACGGCATACTACAGAAACAACATGTCAGTCACTATTTAAATTGTGCCACTAATGTCTGTGTCTCTAGGGTTTTCTTATATGCTAGTTGAAATAGCCAGTCTGATATCCAGCCTCTCTCTAGGTGTATTTGGAAAGTGAGGTGGCTGACTCTTTTACTTGGTATTGCTACTGCTCTGTTCTAATGCTTCCTGCAAATACTACTGTGCTCTTAGTGATAGGTATCTCCTGGAACCATCTAAAGTAGATAAAAACTGCAAGTTAAATCCAGGGGCTGGTTCCTCTTCACTTCCAAAACGAAAGCGGGCCTCTTGCTCTCTGCAGAAGTAAATGACCTGACCTCAGTGTAAGGCCAGTGTAAGCTGTCAGATTCCAGTATGTCCAGTCTGCTGGAGACATCTCTCTGGAAAAGGTCCTTTGGTTTCTTTCAGTCCTAACTGAGCCACGGCTAAAATTGCCCAGCTCTAAAGTATGTGAATTTGGTACTTCTGTGAATTCCTCAGCAACCTCTGAGCGACCCCAGGCTGACAGCACACACCAGGCCATTGCTTGGCTCCCAGTGGGTGACTAACACCCTGATATGGGGGTGGGAATGTTGTTTTGTACATAAACTTCTAAAGTGTCTTCAATAAAGTCTTGTTTAAACAAACAGTCTGTTTACTGAACTACTTCCGTTAATTTCTCTGCATGTAGGTTTCTCTTTGTAGGTTTCTCTTCCCTGACCAGAGAACTGTACTTCTACCTTGCAGGAAGAAACTCCTAACAAGTGCTGTCTCCTTCAGGCTAGATGGGTTTAACACGGTTGGGGTGTACCTGAAACTGAGGCAGACCCTTGTTCTGCTCTGAAATACTAAAAGCAGCTAGTGAAAAGATCTCTGTGTTCAGGCTGAGGTAGGGATAAAAGCAAAAAGTTCTTTGAAGTCTGGGATTGGCTTCAACATTGCTCCTTCATGCCAGCTAATTAGGCACTTTCATGCTGTGCCAACATGGTGGGTTCCCGTACCAAGTCAGAAAAGACAAACAACAGCCAGGTAAGTGGGAGAGACAGGTGTGGCTGTTCCTGGACAGCAGCCACTGTGAGACCTGCCCTCAGATGCAGCTGAGGGTGTGTAAGGGAGAGGTGTCTAGCTGCCTTCCGTGCTCCCCACGTTGACAGGGATATAAAGTCTCACTATAACAGCTGCTTGTTACGCCACGCTTCTGTGCTCAGACCTATTTTTAGTGATGTGCCGCTGTCACTGAGCGGGTGAACGAAATGCAGTGCTTTCCTATCAGCTGAAAGGATGAGAGGAAATGGCCTCAGGTTGCACCAGGGGAGGTTTAGACTGGATATTAGGAAGAATTTCTTTACTGAAAGGGTTGTCAGGTATTGGAACAGGCTGCCCAGGGAAGCGGTGGTGTCACCATCCCTGGAGGTGTTCAAAAAACATGTAGGTGTGGCACTTCAGGACATTGTTTAGTTTAGTTCAGTGGGCAGGGTGGCGTTGGGTTGACTTTTTGATCTTAAAGGTCTTTTCCAACCTAAATGATTTTATGATTCTAAAGCCATTGACTTTCCATCTCAAAGCCTGACTGTAGTATGAGTACAAACCTGATACGGGTAAGGGGCAAGCTCAGTTAGTTGAACTAGTTTGAATCGAACGCTGGCTGGGGAAAAGGAACTGATGTGCCTTCTTCAGCCTGCTGTGAGCAGCGCCAATGGAAACAGTCCCCGCTCCACGGTTCGGACGGGTGGGAGCAGGAGAGAAGCGATGGCTGCGGGAAAGGAGAGGAGACAACCCGTTTGCAAAAGCCTCGCAAGCGCTTCCTTCGCCTGGATGCTCCAACGCAACGCAGCGGTCGCAACCCGCGGCCCCGCTGCCGCCCGACCCGTCTTGTTGTGAGGGGACTCAGCCCACCCAGGGCCAGCCGGCCCTCCGCCACCTTCCCCCGTCTCCCTCGGGCCCAGGCTGCCAGCTCCGACCCGTCCCCTCGGAGAACGAGCCTGTTACAAACGCTCGTGACAAATTGGAGGAGCCAATTTGTATTGAATAAAAAAATCGAATTTATTAGCAAGCGATAAGAGAGCAAAACAGCGCTGGGCGGCCGGGGAGGCAATCCTCCACCACAGGCCCGCAACTTTATGTTACCGTTACATTCCTTATATACATTTCATGTACCCCCTTTCTTGTAAGTCTCCGCCTTGTCCTGCTTCTTCTTTCTTCACTTGTGCGGGTCTGTTACTATGCAGATTCGGTAAATTTTCTCAAGGATGAGTATCCTTTGATGTAGAATGTCTTTTGATGTGGAGAAATACAGTCTTGGTTAATTGCAGCTGTTGTCCTTCCTCTCCTTATCTAGTAAGTTATAGCCATTGCTTTTTTCCCCCTTATCTAGTAAGTTATAGCCACTGCCCTCTTCCCGTGACCTTTACGCATCACTTAAGCAAGTTTTTGCTAATTACACAAGGCATATGTTAACTCTCAATATGTCTCTTCCCCCTTCTCGATTTCATGAACAAAGTTAACCCGTTCATTACAATCCGAGCCGTTTCCCACCACCTCACCCCACCAAATGGCCGCCCGTGGAGGAAAAACCCTCCTCATCCTCCTCCACCCCCCCGCGGGAAGGCCCGGGCGGGCCGAGCACCTTCTCCCCGACCTCCCTCCCCCTGGAACAGCGGCCGAAGGTGTGTGTGTGTGTGGGGGGAAACCCGGGACCTTGCCGAAAAGGGACAAGGGACCGGGATCGGGGTGTCCGGACCGGGCGAACGGCGGGCGATCGCCGACCCGGCCCGGCCGCGCTTCACTGGCGGAAGTGCCTCGGCGGGAGCCGGAAGTTCCGGGTTGAGAGGCGGAAGGGGATGGTGAGTGATGGCGGGCGGCAGGTTGAGGTGTAGGGTCCGGGTGGGATGGCTGGTGGTTCCCTGGGTTGGGTCGTGCCTGGGGCAGCGGGGCAGCGGTGGGGTTTGGTGGGAGGGTAGGCTGGGAGCAGGGTTGCGGCCCGGTCCGCCTCGGTAACGGCCCTTCGTTAGGCCGAGGGGGTTGTTCCTCACGGCCTGAGGGCAGCGGGCGGCTTTTTTGGGCTCCGGTTTTTGCTGTGGAAGTCACGGCTTCGGATTGAGCTGGGGAGGAGTGTGCCAGCGGGAGTGGGGCTGAAGTTACCTTGCTTTTAAACCTGGAACAGCCGAAGCTTTGTTAATCACCTCTGGAACTCGGCTACACCGGTGCCTGTGGGCCGGGCCCCTCCAGCGAAATCCCACAGCGTGTTGGTAAAACGAGGAGGGTGCTTGGAGTGTCTCAGCCCATCTTTTAGGGGTTTGGGGTTGGACTCTGAAGGTTTTCTTTGAAAGTGTAAAAACCATCTGTTTGCCTCATTGAATAAATGTTCTTACTTTAACAGTCATTCCTGGCTCTGACAGTGAACAAAGTGAAGCAATATGTTAATATCACGGCTGACTTCCCCGTTATTGAAGGCTTCACGAATTACAGGTAAACGTGTAGTGTGACCTATTTTCTGTTTGTTTTTTTTTTCTGGGGTCATTGGGCTCCCAAAAATTTCTTTTCCAGCAAGCGGTGTGAGAGTGGTGAGGCTGTTGTTGATTCAGTGGTTATCGAATGTTATTATGTCTTTGGTCTGTTCTGTCAGTATTGTGTAGCTCTGATTTGACTTCTTTTAAGCTTAGGAGGAGATGCTTTCGCACCAGAAAGGCTTAATACAGCCAACAGTTCCTAGCCATTCCAAATTGCACTTACACAGTTTACACAGTAAAATACTGTACAATGTAGTTTTCGCAGATGGTGTTACAGCAATGTAATTAAATTAACAAAGACTTCGATGCTTTTGTGATGGGAATATAATATTTGTAAGCAGCTTCCTTTATTAGGTTATTCTGGCCATGGTTGTCTAATGGTTTGAGAGCTGGGCAGAGGTTTTTTTAAGATACTGTTTGAAAATTCTGCCTCTTAAGTGAAATTGTTTTTTTCTCAAAGGCCGCCTTTTGTCAAGGTCAGTGTCTTCCTTTCTTTGCTATCGGTCTACATCTGTGCACTATAGCACGCAGCCGTCTAACAAGAGTGGAGCCCAGCCTCAGCGGTGGTATGCTCTGGACCCTGAACTGGAAGAGATGCTGATCCCCAGAAAACTTTCCATCAGCCCCTTAGAAAGCTGGCTGACAGTTAGATACTCCCTTCCTAACGCAGAAGTCCTTAATGCTCAGGAAGAAGTGGGCTATGAACCTCTCCAGCGATATGACTGTCCCCCATCTGATGAGGGAGCTGATGTGGAGGAAGGAGAAGGGACGCTTAACAACAAGCTTCAGTGTAAGAACGTTTTGAAGATTCGCAGAAGGAAAATGAATCGGCACAAGTTCAAAAAGCTGCTAAAGCGAAGAAAGTTTGTACGGAGGAGGATAAAGGAAGGTCGCAAGAAGAAACGTCAGGTAAGCTCAGGGTAGAGAGAACTTCTTGACATAAATCTGCCCACTTCTCAAACTGGCTTCTGTTCAGGTATCGGATTATGTTTTTAGGTGGAATTGATGTGGGGAAAAATGGCAGCAGCTCAGAAGGCCTTAATGAATTCAGTATTTACTGGTACCATAGCTTTTTCTGTTTTGTATTTGACCTGTACATCTTCGGAAGTTGTAGTTTAGAATATTTCTGTGGTTGTAAACATGTATGTGTGGTAGTTACTAGGCATAATTTTTCTTGTGTGACAGTAAGTTATAAATATATGGCTAATGGAGAAGAACTGTAGCATTTGTGTGAAAGATTAATTCATGTGTCTGCGTTACATCAGGGAGAATGGTTTAATTTCTTTCCTGTCTTGCCAACATCCTCAAGTGCTTCCTATTGTCTTTTTCTGTACAGAAGCCTTTTAGTTCCCTTAGTAGAAGGGGTGAGGGGAGACATGTGTCTTCATTCAACACTGCCTTTCAGTAGTTTGTTATGTTTGCTATGATATAGTTTAGTTAATTTGCTGCTAATTTTCACCTTGCCTAGGTGCAAATTGGGGTTAATTGTAATTCCATTTCTTCAGATTTGTAGGAAGCAGTGTTCAATACTTTATGAGGAGGAAATCCTCTTAATTTTCTTAGAAGTTTTGTTTTCCATCTTCTCAGTTTTCCTCTCACAGGACTTTTAAAATAATACTACCAAGTCCTTGTGCAGTGTATTTTCTGTGTTAAGACTAACTATTTTGACACTTAGAACAAGCTGCCTACTTAAAACATTTGTTGCCTTTGTGTGCATTATACCTAGATTCTCCTTGGGACACATGGGCAGTGGCTGAATACTTGAGTGTTGCTTCTGAGCTGCGTTACTATTTTTTCTTTCTTTTTTTTTTCCTGTTTCAGGTAAAATTCGAGAAAGATTTGGAGCGCATCTGGAAAAGAGCTGGTTTGAAAAATCCTCCTGCGGGATGGCAAACACCCAAGATATTTCTGAAAAGTTCAAAGCGATAAAAACACTTGTAATGAGTCTTAACCTGTAATTGTAATTAAAAAATATTTAAGTACTCAGATTACTTTTAACCTTTTTCTGAGTGGGATGAAACTAGTAGGAGGAAACTTTCAATCTTGGTGAGCAGTTTTCCGAGGGCAAACATGACAACAATATGCATTTCCTCCTCAAAAGAATGATGTGAGCCCCTTGTACATAGTGACTTGTGTACAGTCCTGGGCTGCTGCCCCCAACTGTATGCCTGAGCAAAGGTGTCTTAGACTGCAGCTGAATTTCTGAAGTTCCTATTTAAGGTTAGACTGAACGATGTACTATAAGAACAATCAGTTGTGGGAGATGGGCTAACTGAAAGAATTCTTCTGATTGCAAGAATACCTACAGAAGACACAAGCATTTTTAAAAGTTCTTTTGTAGCCTTACTATAGAAGGGCTGGTGGTTACTAAGAGTTGTGGTGAAATAGGAATTGGATCAGAATTCCATAGAATACCTCTGTAAAAGCTTTAATTTTCAGTTACCTGAAGCCATGGTGTGCATGTGCCTTAGGCATTGCATAAGCATCCTTAAAAGGCGTGTTTATTTTTTCTGTTCTGTTTTGTGCTAATAAAAAAAATTGTTATTTTTTTTCTACGATTGACCACTGTCATACAGAACATCCAGATACTGGTATCAGTAAAAGTTCAGAGCTAATTATTAATTAACTACAAAAACCGTTTTCTGCTGGAGACAACTTTGTTGTAATCAGCTGGTTTTACATGATTGAAGAGAGTCATGAAAGCTGTGAAAAATAGAGATGTTTATTTTAAACCCTGACAGAGGACTTTATATCTGGGTTCTGTTTTGGGTTCTACTTTTGATTTTTCTGTTTGAGGCAGTTAACTTTTGTTCTGTGTGATGTAGTTCTTCCCTGTCTGTATTCCCACAGATAGATGGGATGGACTGACCTCTGAGAGAAAGGAGGGAAAAAGAATGAGTCTCCTTCAGACTTGTCATTCTGCAGCATACAGGGAAGCTACGCTGAAAATGCATTCCCTTTTATCTGCTAGGAGCAGGACACTTGACTAAACTGAAAGGGAAGAAAAAAAGTAATCTGTGCAACTCATTGCTGCAAGGTAGAGTTTAATCTCGCTGCAGGAAGGACAGGTGACTCCCAGCGTACAGTGGACGACTGAGGTTCTGTGTATGGCTCTCTGCTCTTCTTGTCGATAGATGGCAGCGAATTCAAAGCCTCTGAAACTCCTTAGCCATTAATGTAGAAGCTAGCTGGATCTTTATGCCTGTATCCTAAGGAAAGGGTACACCCACATTTAAAAATTGGTTAATCTTGCTGGAGAACTGGTGGCATCCTGAGAACTGTATTGAAGTCTTGTAGAAACATGTGGTTAGCACATTTTTATAGTTCTTTTTTTCCAAACCATATTTTAACAGCAGGCAACTTTGATCAAAAAAATTAAAAATATGTTCTGTCCTTTTCATGCTTTAAATAGGCAGCAGTTGCTTTTAACCAAGACTGGTAGGACTCTTTCATTCGGGCAATGGTCAGGATTTCAATGAAGAGGAGGATGTCTAGCCATGAGCCTTAGAAACTTGCCAAGCAAGAGAAGGTTGAGTGTTGATTCTGGTTTACAGGTTTGTTAAATATGCAGAGTGTATCTAGGCGTTTCTAAAATATCAATACGCATTTCCTGCACAAAGATGCATAGATGAAAGGCTGGGGCCTGAGAGGATTAGCACCTTTGAAGTCAGGTCCGTGTCTCTTTTCCCCAGTCACATTTGTTTTAAGACCCTTTATGCCAGCATTGTTGTTCTCTGTGAGTCCTACAGCTTCTCTTACTGACTCTTAGTCCAAGCTTGCTGTTTTTCTGTCGGGGAAAAATGGTAATCGGTTTGCACATTTCCAGGAGATTGCTGGCTGCTGAACAGTTGGAATGCATTTGGCATTAAACAGAGCAAAAGACTTTATAAAAGACAGCAGTAGCGTGCCCTGCTCATTTATCCGTGCTGTACCTCCGATTTCAGTTTTGAGGTTTATTATTCCTTGATTTTCTTTTTGTCTTACTTAATCCTATAACTTGCATCTTTGCGCTCTGTTGTAGTCTCTGAATATACAAACTGCCCAAGGGTTTGTTATCCATTTTTATCCACTAAGGCTTATGTTGCTCTTGCCTCTCTCTAGTTTGATATAAAACCTCTCTTGCTCTTGGGGAGCATCACAATGGGGCTGTAGATCATAGACTTGTCCATTGTACTCTGCTGGGATCATGCAGACAGAGAACTTTGTATGCCATTTTCCTGGATCAGCACCACCACCTTGCTCTCCAATTTGTTTTTACATCAGAATAGTAACTAGAAAAGAGAATTATTGAAATAGTGGGAATTGCAAAGCATAATCATTCAGTACCTTGTGATGTTCCAGTGCAAGTGAACTCTTGTCCTATGGCAATGATCGTGTTATATTCGGTTATTTGTGTGGTGAATTGTAAGTCTCCATGAAGTAAGGTAGTTTATTAAATGGTATGCTCTCTAAGTAGTAGTCCAAATTGTAGTCTGCCAAGAGTAGTCATTACTTTTACATCTATTAGACATAATTACGCAACCGTGTATAGAAGTCTGGAACGACTGTGTAATTTACAAAAGTGTGTGTAAACCATCCATGGCAGTTACTGCCAGTCTTAGTCATATAAATGCTATTTTCCTTTTTCCTGAAGGACCTCAAAGCACGTCTCAGAGTTTGTATTTTCTTTGTGGCAGATATTGCAAAGACTCTGTCTTACATGGCACTAATCAGATAATGCATACCAGGGTTGTATCAGCTTGCTTTAACTCTCTTGACCACAGGATGCAATTTTAAACTCTCACTTTGCTAAACAGAATCAGATAGATGAAGGCTGCACTTATTTTTCTGTAGGGGGAGCACGAGTACATAATATACTATTTACAAAGCTTTATTACGAGTTGCTGTTCCTCTCCAAAATACGTGCAAACCAATGTACCTGCACACTTAGTAAATGTGTATGTGTGTGTGCATATGTAGCTGTGGTAGCCAAAAAAAAAAAAAGGCTGCAAACAGGAAAGGTTTGACTTTCATAATTCTCAAAATATTTAAGACTTGAAAGATTTCTCCTTCATCTCCTTATTATTCTGCTGTTCTGAGAGGAAATGGTTGAAAGTCAGTAGAAGGTTGCTAGACAAATTCATGCTTTTTATTACAGAGGCTGGACATATCCAGTGGGATTGTGATTTTATGTTTGAAACTGCCTGACAGTCATTGGTCTGGAAAGGCCCCTCAAAATTGGAATATAAAACTAATTACACTCATGCTTACATCCTTAGTTCTTGGATTGCATGCACTTAAATATAGACAGCAAGCTCAGTTAGCTGAACAGAACATCAAGTTTTGGTAGTTTTGTCACAGCAATCACGTTTGTGCTGAAATGACTTGGCTCTAAAAGAGGAAGTCAGCTGACTCAGAAGGGATGAAAGTTCTGAATTTTGTTTCTCTTAGCCAAAGTGTCACATTGCAAACTCAGAGGGTGTTCTCTCTTTCAGAAAGGTCAAAAGTCAGCAACATGTTGGTAGTGGGCTTCTGACACAGATGTGGCAGAAATGCCATTTCTTTCTAATGCCAGCAAGTAATGGTTGCTGGCAAACTTTAGATTTTAGTTGTCTCCTTGACCTGGATAGCAACGTTTCTTACTAGGGTAGGAATTAAATGCATTTTTATGAGTTTTCTCTGGCAAATATATTGTTCAATTGCATCAGTATAGATTCTTGAAGTTTTTTTAGAGTCTTCTGGACATAAAATAACAGTTCTTTCATCCACACAAATGAATCCAATAGAACTTACAAAATAACTTGCAGCTGAGAATCAGGCCTGATTGTATATAGGAAAGGGAGCAACGCAAAAGAACTGCTTGCTGCAGCTTTTCCTCAATGATTGTGTTTTCTTAACACAATCCAAGATAGGTTTGCTTGGCACAGGGGGTGGAAAAGCCTGGATCAACTGCCAGTACTTTGCATTGCGAGATGATTGCTTAGTGGTCCGCAGTGGTAGAGATGAGGTGTTAGCAAAGACAAGAGATTTTTAGAACTAATGCTGAAGCGGGAGGTCTGTGATACTGATGGGGAGTAGAAAATTTATTTCAGTTACCTTTTTATAAAGATAGCAACCATACTATTTCAGTGCAAATGAGAAAGCCAAGAAGGTTGGTCCCTTTGGTAGCCAGGATTGAACCCCAAATGGGTGGAAAGAAACATTTAAAGTGCGTGTAAATTGCAGCAGCATAGCAATTTGGGTTAACCTCTTCAGGCACAAACAGCAGTTAACCATAGCACCTCTGATAGTCTGGAGTCTATGGAAGAGATTTTAGGTCTGTATGGCAGCCATTTGCTCCAGCCGACCACAGGAACAGGCTTCTTGGTAATTGTCTGCTGTAGTTTTGGCTCACTTCAGATTAATTCTATTCAACTTCAAGTTTGTCATAGGAAAAGGCAGAGTCCAGCAGTGAATACAAGATGTTCCTTTCCTCTGGAAATCTTGCGCTTACCGTACAAAGCATGTTGGATAGTCTGCTAGCTGTTAAAGCAGCCCTGAGGTCATGCAGACAGTGAGTCTGAGCTTGTGGATGCCCTCTCCATGCTATCCTTGGCACAGACAGAAGGACAGTTTGCTGCCTGTCCAGGAAGGAGTCATGTGGAGAGGAAATGGAGTGGAATGTAATGATGGCTTCTCCAGCTTCTGCTCATGAGACCAGACCTGAAGCTGATTCAAACCAGGAGCTGCATAGGTTGTAATGGGACCAAAGACATTACATTGAAGGAAAACACTGATCTGAATTGAGGCTGTTTGTAAACATGCAAAAGGTTGAGTAAAATCCTAAAGCACGGGGACCCTGGACAAAAATTTATGTTGGTATTGCCCAGACAGTCAGATTTTGTTAGGCTGATGGCCTGTCACTTTGAAAGGGTCCAGACTGAAAGAGTTTATTCAGTGTTTTCAACTGTGATTTCATGGGACCAGGCACGTGTGTGTTGAATTGCTGAGGACAGGCTGTGGG